TATCAAGGTTGTTTCTTGTCATTCTACTCTAAGAAACGCGGGGACTATCTATATACGGTAAAATCGGAGGGTCCAATTTTTCATCGTTATGATGCCTCGAAGGCTCGAAATCACGGTCGAGTTTTATCCCTCGAGGGCCATCGACGCTCGACCTTGGGATAGTATGAGACTGACGGTTACAAGAAGAAAATGGGGAGTTCCCAAGGCGTGAAGCTAGAGCTGACAAAATCTGTCAGGCTAGTTTGAGCCCGTATCGTGACATTAACTAGGTGTCCCATCTCCATATCTTTGTAATAAATGCACGTGTACTATGTTGGGATTCCCCCCTCTTATATAAAGGGGATCCTTGTCATTTTGTAAACGTCTGTTGCTCCATACTAAATACACTAGAACATTCTCTCTGCTCTTTAACACATTATCTTGGTCTCGTTATCTCATTTATTGCTCATATTTATTATGTTCTATTTATTATTCATCATTTATTGCTTGTTATTGGCCATAAAGAGTCGTCTTTAATTTATTTATAAATGTTAGTCTCCATCGACCACCTTCGATAGCTCCCAACCGAGCTTCAGACTTGACCTCGAGACCCTCGAATAGGCAAGCTCGAGGCCCCGATTGTCTGCGATTCAATTTGGTTAACATCTCATTTTTAAGCTCTTATCTCGTTTCTAAGTCTTTCACGTAGCATCAACTGCCTAACAACTAGCATAAAAATAGATCATGTATTTTTAGAATCACTAAATCAAATTTAATTGTTATTACCATTTTCACGGTAAACAATCCCATAAATGTGTCAATTAAGCCTACTGCAGCGTGCAACTCGATCCCATAAATATCACTCACAAGCCGACCCTCAGGCCCCAACACAGTTATCAATCTCTCAAGTCTCGGGCTCACAAATCTCATGACAATCAACCCAAATAATTATAACATTTTGTAACAATAAATGATAACAAAGACCGAGATATGATATGCATGAATGTGACTAATTACATGATTGCAATTTAAGCAAATAAATCAACATAAGAAATGACCTCAGTGAGTCCCAATAGAATAAGCATATAGCCTAAGCATGATTTATAACATGGATAGCAACTCAATTACTCTAACACATAGGGATTACATGAATAGCAACAAGATTTGATAACTACGCCGTACCACAGAATCAACTAATTCACAATCATTATGGTGCACGCTCACATATCCATCACCTAACATGTGCATCACCTTAACATCAACCATATAACATGAAATCTAGGGATTCATACCTTCAGTACCAAGTTTAGAAGTGTTACCTCAAACCGGGCAAATCACAACTCCAACAAGCCCTTGCCTCGCGAATCGGCCTCTGAGCGACTCGAATCTAGCAACAAACAACGTAATATAATCAATACAAGCTATAAGAATCAATTCCATACGATAAAGCTAAGTTCTTTAACCAAAGTAAAAAAGTCAACCAAAAACGTTAACCACAGACCCACATCTCGGAACGCGACAAAATTTACAAAATTTGAACACCCATTCAATAACGAGTCCGACCATATCAAAATCATCCAATTCTGACCTTAAATCGCCTTTCAAATCCTCAAAATATAGCTTATGTTTCCATAAATTATCCCATTTTTTTTAACCCAAAACACTAATTAAATGGTAAAAACAATCATAGATTCATGTATACTAATCAAATCCGATTTAGAGTCACTTACCCCAATAAAATCCTTGAAACCACCCTTCAAGAATTGCCCAAAACCGAGGCCTCTAGCTCAAAAGATGAAAAATCGGGCAAATACTGCATGCCCAAAATTAGGCCTCTAGAATTGAACTAATATACTGCTGCCCAGATGCCCTTCTTCGCGAACACGAAAAGTGCCTCGTGTTCACGAATTACAAAATCTTCAGCTGCCAAAACTCCTCTTACGCAAAAGCGAGACCTCCTTCCCTAGTGAATGCGATGACCACAGAACCAATCCCTACGGGAACGCGACCCATCTCCCGCGAACGTGAAGGCTTAATGCCTAGTGCTCAACTGGACTCAACTTTCTACGTGCATGCGAGTCTCTTCTTGCGATCGCGATGCACCAACTCCGTAGACCTTCATGAACGCTTGACCTTCTTCGCGAACGCGAAGAACAAACTTCACCAGTCACCCAAATACACATTGTGAATACGAGACCTCTCTCACGAACGCATATAAGGAAACCAGACACCAGAAATTATGCAACTCTACAAGGCCAAACTCAATCTCGCCCGAGGCCCCAGGACCCCATCCAAACATACCAACACATCCTAAACCATCAAACGAACTTAGTCGAACCCTCAAATCATATCTAGCGACATCCAAAACCTAAATCGCACCCCAATTCAAGCCTAATGAACTATTGAACTTCCAACTTCTACAACCAATGCCGAAATACATCAAATCAACTCCGATTGACCTCAAATTTTGTACACAAGTCATAAATGATACAACAGACCTATTCCAACTTTCGGAACTAAAATCCGAGCCCGATAACAACAAAGTCAACTCTCGGTAAAACTTCTCAACTCTCCAAACTTCAACATTTCCAACTTTCGCCAATTCAAGCCAAAGTCACCTACGGACCTCCAAATCGATATCCGGACACACTCCTAAGTGCAAATTCACTATACAGAGCTATTGGAACCATCAAAACGTTATTTCGAAGTCATTTACATATAAGTCAACATCTGATCAATACTTTTAACTTAGGCTTTCAACCTAAGGACTAAGTATCCCAATTCATTCCGAAACATCCCCAGAACCAAACCAACTACCCCAGCAAGTCACATAACGACAAATGATCATATAACACGCAATAAATGGGAAAATGGAGCTACCATACTTAAAACAACCGGCCGAGTCGTTACAGTAACCTCATAATCAATACCACTCAGCCCAATATGGGGCCTGGCGTATGCATCACCTCATTATCATTATCAAATCAGCTCTATGGCCCATGATCAGTTATCAACCGCTCAAGTCTCAATGTTCAAATCTCACAGTACTCAACTCAAACCGTGTCATACATATAAGGACATAAACAAGATGTGAGATAACATATAAAGAATACACATATGTAACATTCTGACAGAGAATATGACTATAATTAAGGCAAAAAGCTCAATATAACAAGAATCGCCCTATTACGTCACAGATAAGCACAAAACCTAGTCATGATTTGTAGCATGAATAATAGCTCAAGTAGTCATACAAGTAGTGAAAACACAGAAATAACAGAACACGATAGCAAAACAAGGCATATAATAGCTTAAGGTCTACTCAAATAATGAATAACCCCAGTGTACGCATACACACCCGTGACCTAGCACGTGCATCACCCCCAACATATATTTAATACCATAACCAATGGAAAATTACCCCAAACCAAGTTAGACAAGTTATTTATCTCAAAGGGCGTGACTCAATATCCAAAAAGACCTTCCAACATGAATATACCTCCAAACGATTTGAATCTAGTAAAAAGTAACTTAATAACATCAAACAAGACTATATAAATTGATTTCAAACAATGAAGCTCCAATCTTTATCAAATTGCACAAAGTCAACCCATAAATCAATCGGGACAAACTTCTCAGAACCCAACCAAAGTCATAAATCCCGACTAGTCATTCCAACACGAGTCCAAATGTACAAGTTTCATCCAAATTTGACTTTGAATTGGGGTTCAAATCTCAATTATTCATTCTCTAAAATTTCTCACAAAACCCCCAATTTTCTCTCTTAGATTCATCAACCAAAAGCCAAAATCAAGGGTAGAATCACGAATAATAATCAAATTTGAGTTAAGAGTACTTACTCAATCAAAGTGGGTGAAAATCACCTCAAACATCACCACAATCCGAGCTCCTAAACTCAAAATACGATAAATGAAGCCAAATCCTTGAATAAGAGTGTTCTGCCTAGCGTTTCTCGCTTATGTGGCCTGGCTGTTGCTTCCACGACAGCGCATCTGCGAAAAAATCATCGTAGATGCGCACCTAACTAGAGTACCCGACTAGTGCACCTGCATCTAAGAGTTCGCTTTTGCAGAACCGCATATGCAGCCTTGCACCTACGCCAAAGATCCACATCAGTGGACACTGCTGCCCTCCGATATTCTTCGCATCTGCAATCCTAGTCCACTTCTGTGGACTCGCACATGTGGACCAAACCTTGCAGGTGCAAAAACACCAGACCAGAACTGTCATCCAACTACAAAATGTTCCTAAACACACCTGAGGCCCTCAGGACCCCGTCCAACGACACCAAAAGTCCTAATACTTCCCCAAAACCTATCCAAAGGATCAAAATACCGAAATTAACATCAAAATCATGAATCATCGATCAAGATCAATCTCTTAAGTTCATGAAAATCCAACTTCAAACGAAGCATCCGATTTAAGACTAAATAATCCGGAATAAACCCAAACTTTGCACACAAGTTCCAAATGACATAACGAAACTACTCCAATTCCTGAAACAAAATGTTCAAAACCCGATAGCCTCAAAGTCAACTCCTAGTCAAACTTATGAACTTTCCAAACCTTCAAATTTTAATTTTCGCCAAATAGAGCTAAATTAACCTAAGAACCTCCAAATCTAAATTCAGACATATGCCTAAGTCCAAAATTACCACACAAACATGTTGGAACAATTGTAACACGAATCCAAGGTCGTTTATACAAAAGTCAAATCTTGGTAAACTCTTACAACTTTATCGTCTAAGCATGAAGTGTTCCAACTCACTCCAAAACCTTTCAGAGACCAAACCAATCATCCCCGAAAGTTACAAAATAACAATCAAGCATACAGGAAGCATCAAGTAGGGGAACGAGGCTCAAACACATAAAACGACCGGCCGGATCATTACAAGTAAAGTGATGTGGAATCTCCTAAACCAAGATTAATATTTATCTGATCTCTCAGCTTTTTGCCATTTTTTGCTCTATTACCCTCTCTTCTCTACCCCGAAGTAACTTTTTTCTATTTCAGTTATATTCCTCACGTTCAATTCCCCTTTCCTAAACTGTCACTTTAACAATTTTTTGTTATGCCATGTTTTCTAGATTCCCTTAAATATGGCTTTTTGCTCTCCTCTTTTTCATTCCCAGGTAAAACTCCTCTTTATGTAGTTTATAATGCCTTTATCTCCTCTTCTCTTCCCACTCGCCACCTAAAATTCGTCTTCCTCTTCGGTGCCTTTTTCTCAATTCTAGGTTATCACATAAAGAAATCAAACAATTCATGCCATATACAGAAATCAAATAATTTAGTTTTTCTTTCTGTGGGTCTTAGTATGGTAAGCTGAATCATCTACAGGATAATGGAAGAATTAGTTATCTAAGGCTTATTGGAGCATATTCATATTGTGTACGTTTCTAAATCTCCAAATCTAGCAGATTATTTTTTCCAGAGGACAAGGTAAATATTTTTCATCAGTTAATGATAGAATTTAATGTTGTTATGTTGAGAAATGTTATCGTTTCTCTATGACAACTGTGGGAGATTATGTGGATACCAATTTACAGTTTTTTGATCAGTTTAGATTTCTATTCGAAGACTATTCTTTCGAATTCTATTTTCCTAACTTGCTACTTGTTTCCACCTATTTACTTCATCTGTTTAAATTCATTCCTACGTTGTTCTCAGGTATCAAGTTTTATTCTTTTTGCAATATTTATAAATCATCTTCAATTTTGTCTATTCTTCAATTTCATTTTATTTTAAATTACATATCAAGATGAAAGCTGAAGAGCGTCAACATGAGTTTGTTCTTTACAAATTTTTTAGTATGTAATTATATATCACTTGACTCAATTGTGTAAAAATATCTTGTCAAAGGATTGTATGGTGGTTTAGACACAATATGTTTATTTGGACCTCATTATTGTTAATTCAAATTTCTACTTGTGTCAATATTGGTTTAAATTAGGTTTTATTAAAATTTACGGTTTCTTTTGCTTAAAAAAAATGGTGCTAAAGCCGTTTATATACTAGTGTATCTTCACCAAAACAGAAAAACATCTCTCACTATAATTTAGAGAAAATCTCACTTTATACCCATTAAGCCTAAACTATTTACCCTTTAATGCCAATACCCAAACTATTGTAACGACCCGGTCGTTCGGTCTGAGAGTTATAGCCCTGTTTCCCCTATTTATGTTCTTTGTGTGTTGTTCAGCTGTGTTGTGTTGTATCAAGTTGGTAGGTTTGGGTTCGGAATAGTTTTGGAGTAAAATGAACATTTAGTCTCTTAGTTAGAAAGCTGAGTTAAAAAGTCAACCGGAAGTTGACTTATGAGTAAAAGAATTCGGATTTGGATTTTTATGATTCGATTAGCTTCATTGGGTGATTTTAGACTTAGGAATGTGGCCAGAATATAATTTGGAGGTCCGTGGTAGAATTAGGCTTGAATTGGCGAAAGTTGGAAGTTTAGAAGTTCTTAGGCTTGAATATGAGGTTGATTTGGTGTTTTGGTGTTGGTTTGGGTGTTCTGGAGGTTCGACTAAGTTCGGGTAGTGATATATGACTTGTTGGAATTATTGGTTTAGGTTCCGAGGGCCTCGGGTGAGTTTCAGATAGGTTTGGGTTGTGTTGCACTCGTTTTTCTTATGTTTCGACGTCGTTTCTTCAAGCATAAATGATATCATATTAAATAAATGAGCTCTGATTTCTTTTTTGATTGAAGCATTAGATCTGTATTGTAATTACGGACCCGTAGCAAAAAAAATCGTCAAATTTGGACATCGCATGAGGATTTTATGGTCATTTTACTACGAAATAGGTTGGCAGATATTTCAGAGTAATTACGAAATTGCCACTAACGGCGTATTTAAAAAATCTACACCATTTGCAAATATTGAAACCAACATATCTTATTCATTATAAGGTCAAATTGAGTGATTCAAAAGCCTAACTTGACTAGAATTTCACAAGGAATCCATTGGAGGCATAGAAAGCGAGTTTTGAGATCGTTTGGCACGAGAAACGATGCAGAATAGCTGGCAAAAAATATATAAAATTAGGGTTTGTTCATTCGGTCATATTTTGAGTTGGGGAGCTCGGATTTGGGCGATTTTGGAGGCAATTTTCACCATATGGATTGATGTAAGTAACAGTTCTAACTCTGGCTTTGAGGGTATAAACCCGGAGAATTTGATATCATGTGATTGTTTGGAGGTGATACCCATGCTAGGTGATGGGTGTGTGGGTGTATACCCCGAGGGATTGAGACTTGGACTGTGCTGTGATGCCTCATGGCCATCATCTGTGTTTACATAGTTACTTGTTGTTGAACTTGTCTGCCTTCGTGTTAGAGATCATGTTTAGGCTTTATTCATGCTCACATTATTTGTACTCACTCATAGAAATTATTGTACATGTTTACCTCAGTCTCTATTATTTGCTAATATGTTGTGATACTTGATGTGGGCTGTGTTCCCTTATTTGTTGATGATGGTGAGGCTAGTGAGGTACATGACTGAGTGAGGCTGAGGGCCTAGTTGTGAGGATATTGATACCATAGTGTGTGAGTTGTTCGCGTAGCACGTGAGTTGACCGTGCGGATCCAGGTATTGATACTATAGCGCGTGAGTTGTCTACGTAGCACGTTAGTTGACCGTGCAGATTCAGGTATTGATATGGTAGCACGTGAGTTGTCCGTGCTTAGCTCTTGGGCTTTGGGAGCCCCTCCGGAGTCTGTACACACCCCAGTGGCATAGAGTATTGAGTGTTGAGTGCTGAGTGATGGAGTGACATTGCTGTAAAGTTGCATTTACTTTTGCTGTTGCTGCATTTATCTGTTAAATTTCTTTGTGGTATTTACAGAGTTATGGAATTTACCTGTTTATTCATGTTTATTTTTTTAAAAATTATGAAAATAAATAATTAGACTGTTTTACTTAGCTCGTCACTACTGCTCAGTTCCTTAGTTATTTATGTTACTATTGAGTTGGTTGTACTCATACTACATCCTGCACTTTATGTGCAGATCCAGGTGTGTTAGAGCGCAACGATCGTTGATTTCAGGCCGACTATTTGTGGAGATTGCAAGGTAGCTGCTAGCGTCCGCAGGACCTTGTTACTCCTTTTGTCATCTCTTTTTTTGGACAGTTAGATAGTTTATATTTCCTAGTTCATAGTTTTAGACGCTCATGACTTAGTGACACCCCGATGTTTGGAACTCATTTCCGTATTTTATATTATTTATATTTAGAATTGGTTTAGTTTATCAGGAATTAAATTATTAAAAATATTTTATTAAATTTTTATAATCAAATTAGTAGTAATATTTTGGGAAATAGGCTTGCCTTGTAACACGATAGGCACCATCACGACATGGTTAGATTTTGGGTCGTGACAAGTTGGTATCAGAGCCTAGGTTATCTAGGTCTCACGAGTCATGAGCGGGTTTAGTAGAGTCTTGCGGATCGACATGGAGACGTTTGTACTTATCTTCGAGAGGCTGCAGAACCTTTAGGAAAATTTCACATTCTTGAATTCTTATCGTGCGGTATTAATTCAGCTTGAAGTGTAACTCTTTGAATTTCTTCCACGCATTCGTATGCACACATGAGCGCTCGATATCATATGTGCATCGATGGATTATGATTCCCTGAATGAGGTGCGAGATGTAATTTCTGTGTGTTGATGTTGGGTCAATCTGGAGGACTTGAGGCCGAGTTTTGACTGTAGATTAAGCACTGAGGTGTTGATTGTGTGAGCGCGTGCTTGTGGACCTATATCCGGCAGTGTCCCTATTAGTAGAAATGGTGGCTGGATGGATATGTGATGAGTATGATGTGACCGCGAGATGAGTTCATATGATTTGAATGTGACGAGAAGGTATTGCTGAAGGTTTCACCTATTTGAGACTCCAGGTATGTTTCTAGACTCGTTCGAGGACGAAGGTTTGTTTAAGAGAGGGAGGATGTAACGACCCGGTCGTTCGGTCTGAGAGTTATAGCCCTGTTTCCCCTATTTATGTTCTTTGTGTGTTGTTCAGCTGTGTTGTGTTGTATCAAGTTGATAGGTTTGGGTTCAGAATAGTTTTGGAGTAAAATGAACACTTAGTCTCTTAGTTAGAAAGCTGAGTTAAAAAGTCAACCGGAAGTTGACTTATGCGTAAAAGAATTCGGATTTGGATTTTTATGATTCGATTAGCTTCGTTGGGTAATTTTAGACTTAGGAATGTGACCGGAATATAATTTGGAGGTCCGTGGTAGAATTAGGCTTGAATTGGCGAAAGTTGGAAGTTTA